AGCAGCTTACATAATTGCATGGAATTTTGTTCATACTCAAATAGTTCACATCCACACATACTTTATACTATGAAGTAACTGCACTACAGATAAAAACCAAAATGTTACTCCCTTCTCCACTAATATAATTTTATCTTTTCAAAAGCCTTGCCAGTAGATCAAAGACAAATACCACCAGTGCAGGAAAAAGAAAGAAATAGCAAATGATCAAATCACCAAAGAATATTTGTCAATGTCTTTGTCTAACTTAGCAAGTAAATGCAAAGAAGAGGGAAATTACCTACAATGCCCATTACCCATTAAACACCCAACTCAGGCAACTAAGCTGGCCTCTTAAGAGTTCTATAGTTATTGAAGAAAGAGAAGTATTTGGGAAGGCTTCACCCTGAAAAGCTGATTTGCTACAAAAAAATATTTCTCTATTTACTATGACAGGAAAAAGCTGGTTAAGCCTGGTGTCTCTGGCTCAGTGCTCAAAATTATAGCTTAAATTGTCAAGAATGGTAGAAAGAACTGACCAAACTACAAAGATATTTGTAATTAAAGTAACAAAATAGTAGCAGCTCATTTTGGAGTAAAAAGAAGTATTGGGGCTACAAAGATACAGCCTAAATATTACAATAATAGGATTTGTATAAATAATCAAATAAGATACCTATGAACTGAAAACTATCTTTGACATTCAACAGAGCTGTGTGGGCAAGAATAACATAAAGCAGAAAGAAAAAGCAGTGGAAGGAAATTAACATTTAAAATCTTATTTTGTCTGCAGGGTCAAATTTGTAATGAAAAAATGCCTGCAAAATCATAATAATAAACACTTCTAAATTGAGAAAAAATACTACATATTAAATATATGAATTACTATAAATACTTCTAAATTGAAAAAAATACCTGTAAGTATGGTCTTAAAAACTCCCAAGCAAAGACCATAATGCAAAAGTATTTTAAATTAATGAAAAATAACTTGCAGTCAGGATGAAATTTAAAATTAAAAAATTATTATTATTATGGTAAAGCATGAGAAGTTCAATACCTACCATATTTTCTGGGCATTTTTCACAAGTAACAGAGAACCCACCATCACTGGAAACCATCCTGTATCCTGGCTCACATATACAGGAACTACCTGAAAAAAACAAAGTAAATGCACTTTTAATCTATATAAAACTGACTGTTTTTTACAGAATACTAAGAACTGCTGTTGTTCCCAAGAGATCAATATGGATTATTAGACAGACACAAAACACCTGAGATGTGGATGAAAATCATCTTGCTTTTTGAAAATGTCCATGTTATGATTCATACACAGATATTTTAGGAAAGTGTTACAAGGCTGACTGATCCACCAGGGTGCAACAGGAATCCTGAGCTTGTTTTTTTTGTGTTCTTTTTTTAAACCAAAGAGATATAATCTCTCTATCTAAATCTTGCCACAGTGACTTTCTCAGCCCATTCTCTCTACAACACCAGCATTATATGTTTGTACACAGTTTTGACTATTTCCACAGGAAGTCACTCCTAAAAACAAAATATGTTTAATGTTTATATTCAAAGGTTTTTTAAAATTTAACTGTCATATGTGAAGCTGTTTTAAATTTGCAAAGCTTTTAAAATTGTGCATGGGGATCAAACTTTACATTGAATGGTTTTCAGTAACTAACAGAACATACCTAACATTTAGTATGAAATGAAACACTACTTTCATAGCACACCATGGTGCACATCTGTTAGTCCTCAGCAACTCTTTTTTTTTTTAGAAACCTTTTCAGTCTATCAGACTTCTCACCATAATTTGAAACACATACTACAAACCAAAACTGATTATATGTACTAATAAACTGTATTTATTATTACTTAAGTTTATTGAACTGTTCATGTAAAAATAATGTAAAATTCTGTGAAAAGTTTAATAGCCTTAAAGTACATCCTCATGTGATCAGTTGCACAGAAACATTTGTCAAAGGGATGAACCACTCATAATTATAAAAAAGACCAATAGGATTATGTCAGTGAAGAGCCTTGAGTTGAGATTTCACTGTGACAACACCTAAATTTGTAGGCATATTGCTTGATGGCAGAATCCACAGTGATGAACTATCGAGGGAGTGTATGGGCAGACTTGTGCAATCACAAGTGGAATTCAGCCATCATGCAAAGAGCAGGTTAAATGTCACCTACCTACATTGCTCCAGTCAGATGCTCCAAGAAAAAAAATAAACCCTTGACCTGCACCTGGAATTTATCTCTCCCTGAAGCCCCTGATTTGGAGGAAGATTCAGACTAAGGGGAGTTATGGATCTAGACACCCACATTATAAGATCTGAAAATGATTACAGGGTATTTTTTTTTCTGTAAGTAAACTATAGGACTACTCTTTAGGGTGTCATATTGGCGGTGAAGAGGTGACCAGCTTTTACACAGCAGTTGTGAAAACAGCCATCCACATCACTGCTTCTCACTGAAGTACCAGCTCTGAAGAGAGATGCTGTTGGGTCTTAGTCTCGAATTTGTGTCTGTACACGACAGTGAACTCCCACTCTTATCCCCTAAAGAAAGCGACTGACTATCTGGATTTTTCATCTAGTACTGTCAAGGTGTGTTGTATTCGCTCCAAGCTCCCGTGTGGGACTCGGACCAGCACGGGCACAGCCTGAGGATCTCTACATCTCACACATTCAACCTTTGACAAGCAGTTTAAAGTTACCGAAGTGTTCAAGAACATAATTTCAGGGCTCTGTGAGATTTTACCAATGAAAACGCAAATACTCATAACCATACAAATGCCTGAGGAAAGAAAGAGTATTAAGAGAGGCTTTATTAAAAAAGGCTTTATTTAAAAAGCCGTTTCTCAGGGCTTTATCTCAGACACATCGCAGCTGTGCTGCGCCCACTTGGGTCTTTGCGGCATCGTGGCGTTTTTCGCTCCCTTCAGACCCGCCCCTGAGAGCTACTGTTTCACCGCCACGGCCTGAGCCCCTGAATCTGCTGGGAGCCGGATTCAGCGCGGAGCCGCCCGAGCCCCGATCGGCCCCGGGCCCGGGCAGTGCTGCCTCCCCCCTCGCTCACCGCCGGCGCTCTGCCGCTGGTGGGCTCCGCAGGGCGCGCAGGCCAGGCGGGAGCTGTCGAAGTAGTGGTCGGTGGCGCAGGCGGCGGGGCGCTGCAGCGGGACGGAATAGGCGCGGGCGGGAGGCAGCGCCACCGACACCGCCATGAGCAGCGCGGCGGCGACGGCACCACGGTCCCCCGCTGCCATGGCCACCGCGCGCACCACCGCTACGGCGAGCGCCGCGGGCCAGCCGCCGCAGTACGCGAAGCGTCCGCGGGGTGGGCAGGAAGGGAGTGGTACAAACCCGGGATTAGGGTGTGGGCTGCACAGGGGTTTGTTTGTCCTGTGGGAGATTAGGAGGATAGAAGAGCACGGTGTATCCCGGATTACGTTTTCCTGTACCCCGTCTCTAGAACGGTGTATCATACTAATGTAACACTTGTTTGTAACTTCCCCCCTGTGAGAGGAAACTGGTAACAACGTGAAAACACAAAATGCCTAGAGGAATGGATACACAGCCGAAGTAACTCCCCTTTACCTCTTTCACCTTTGTCAGGACGTTCTTGTTCCCATTCCACAGAATGACAGAATGGGTGAGGTTGGAAGGGACCACAGTGAGTCATTTGGTCCAACCTCTCTGCTCAGACAGGATCATCCCAGAGCACATGGCACAGAATTGTGCCCAAACAGTTCCTGAATATCTCCAGCGAGGAAGACTCCACAACCTCTTTGGACAATCTGTTCCAGTGCATGGTCACCCACACAGTAAACAAGTTTTTCCTCATATTCAGGTGGAACTTCCTGTGCAACAGTTTCTGCCCATTGCCGCTTGTCCCATTCCTTCAAATGTTACCAAAACTTTGCAGGGTACTTTATGCCTTGGGTATTAATTATTCCTTGTTGCCCCTGTCCTGCAAGCTAATTGCCTAACTATTACAATTCTCGATATTAGCATTGCTTGGAAGCCTATATGCTTATTGCACCAAATGCTTTATTCCTCATTGGATTTCTTGTGCTGGTTCAACAAGGCTTTAAAAGCTTGAGTTACTGATATCTTCAAGTCGAATTATCTGTCCCCAGGCTGAAGTTCATGTAAATTTTACTATCTAAAAGACGTTGGTGTGCTTGATTTGTGGAAACCTCCACCTTGCATCCTGCGCAGGATAAGCAATGTCTCCTTTCTAAACTATATTGTGTGTGTTTAGAGAGCTCCTAAAATCGGCAGCATTACTAGGTGAATCTACAAAAAATAACATGGGTTTTTTTATTATTTGTCTATGTAAAATGGAGCAGACAAGTGCTGAATAAGCGTAGAAACACAGGGGAGAATACATAAAGGCAGGTGGGATAAACACTAGGATAAAATAACTACCTCACCTGCCCAACAATCCTGCCTCTGCCCTTCCCTTTACACAGCCTTTCCTCCTCCTCTGCCATTCCCCCATCCCTGCCTGCCTTTCCTTCCAAAACCCAGACTTAAGCCAGCCCGAGCTGGGTTAGAAATCGTGTCTGCCGGTACTGGCAGAGCAGCGGTGAGCGCAAACCCGCTCCCGAGTTCTGAGGCTGGGAGGATGCGGCACTAGCGGGTATGAGCCTGAGCACAGCGCACAACACAGCAGGGTGGCCGAGTCCCGCAGCCCGCCGTGTGACCGATCTCTATATACCGATCTGGTACTGTACAGCTCTAGCATTACACAGTTTGGTCATTATACAGCGCTATTTAAACGGGACCACAGGGCCGCCCCCGGGCCACAAGGCGCATGCGCATTACCTGCGGCGCGCGCGGGCATCACGGTGAATGGGGGCGCGCGAGGTGGCGCACACGCGGCAGAGGCGGGAGGGGGCGGGGTCACGGGGCAGCGGCGTTTCCCGCCCCGCCCGCAGGGTGCGCGCGCAGCCCCGCGCTCGCGGCGCGCGGCAGGGCTCGCGGGCCGGAAGCGCTCGCGCGGCGCAGCCGCTCCTCGGTGGGGGGGGGGCAGCGACGGCGGCGCCATCTTGGCGGAGCCGTGCGGGAGCTGCGGAGTCCGTCCGAGCGCCAGTCCGGTGGGTGCGTGGATGGATGGCGTGAGGGACAGCGCCCGCCTCCTCCGTGTGCGGCGTGTGGCTGAGGGCGGCGCGGGGTTTGCGCCGGGAACCGGTTCCCGGGAGTTCGACTCTCGCGGAACCGCTGCGCGGCCGCTGCCCGGGCCGCGGCCTCCTCGTGCCGCCGGCTTTCCCACCCCCTTTCCCCGCTCCTGGTGACTCCCTCAGCCCTGTCCGGTGCCGAGAGGCGGCTGGGCTTCTCCGTGACGGCGGAGCACGACCAGCTCTGTTGGGCCCGGAGCGCGTGTGGCGCGGGGCGGCCTCCCCTCGGCCCGTCCCCCTCGCCCGTGCCCCGTCCTACCGCCCGCGGCCCCGCGCTCCGGCCCGGCCGGGTCCTGCAGCGGCGGTGGCGCTCGGAGTGAGCGGTGCTCCCAGCCGGCCCAGCTACAGAGCTCAGTTGCGTCTTCCTCCAGCGATGTGCAAAGTGCCATTAGCAGCATCCTGCTTCCACTGTTTAGGCTTATTCTGAAGAACAGAATAAGAAATCTTTCTCTGATCTACCGGTTATTTTTACATTGGTCCAGTTTATAGTCAGAGTGTTTCTGCGTATGTTGTTTCTAGCTTGCATACAGATAATGTAATCTCTGAACGTTGTGGTTAAAATACTGGTCTAGTGCAGGCTTAGTTTCCCACAGTGTTTACAAGTTGTGGGTTTATTTTAATGGCTTTAATGGTATTTGAAATTTCTCGAGGCTGTGGAAGAATAGGTATAGTAGTGTTTTTTGGTCAGCTTTGTTTAAATATAAAATTTCATAAAACTGTGTTTGCTTCCGTGCTTTTAAATTGGTGACATGAAGTTGTCAATCTGTTCTCCAAATCCTTGCTCTCTGAGTCTCTGCTGAGTTAATGAATTGGTCTTACTTTTCATGACAAATGACTGCTTTCGGTCATTCACTTTAAATTGTTGGATGGCTTGTCTGTACTTTCTACCCACGCTTGATTGTTTAATATCCAGTCAGTAAGAACTTATTATTTGAACTTGCATTTTTGTTTGTGGACTTCTTAGAGATCACATGATCTGGAATCACTGTGTCTAGTTTTCACCGCTGAAGGTTGTGTGTTGTGTCCCTGGTGCATCGTGGAGAACTTGCTCTTTATCACCAAAGAAATACGGAGGAGAGCTGTTGTGAATGATATTTAAAAATTGGGATAAGAATGTGGAGTTGTGAAATCCAGGAGTACTACAGATTAAATACATCATGAAGTAGCAGGGCAATGGATTTGGTTTTTCAAGACACGACGGTGCTGTATGAAAATTCTACCCTTGAATTCTTCATGCTTTTTGGCACTGCCGTTGCATCTGTTGAGAAGAGACGTAAAGTTCTGGGTCTGGCTGGGACGGAGTTAATGTTCTTCACAACAGCCCGTACAGTTCAGTGTTTTGGATTTGTGGCTGAAAGAATGTTGACAGCGCATCGTGTTTTGAGCTGTGGCTGAACAGTGCAAAGGCTTTATCTCTTTTCCCTACTCTGCCACTCCAGCGAGTGTGCTGAGTATAGGCGGGAAGCTGAGAGGGGACATGGCTGGGACAGCTGACCCAAACTCACCAAAGAGATATTCCGTGCCATGTAACGTCATGCTCAGCAACAAAAACTGAGGTAGAGGAAGAAATATTTTGACGGTTTTGGTTGCCCGAGGGGATTTTTTTCTTGGCTCCCAAGGCAGTTGTTATTTGAAGGTAGGCTGGACATCAGTCAGCCTGTAGGAGGTAATGAGTGATTTTCTTTGTTTTGCATTTTTCTTCTCACTGATGAAACTTGACCCACGAGTTCTCTTGACTTTGTTCTTCCTATTTTCTTTCCCGTCCTGCTGATGGGGACAAGGAGTGCACAATTGGCCGTGTGGGTGCTTGGCTGCTGGCTGGAGTCGACTTGCCACAAAAGTACAGAGAACAGATGGTCTTTAGAGAAGTTACTAAATAGGCAGTTGTTTTCTGTTGTGCTTGCAAAGTGGTGATGTAGAAGTGACATAAAACCCATTAGTTAGAGAATTTGGACTTTGTTCTTGTTTTGCTAAGTTCAGTTGGAGTGACAGTTACAGTTATTGATAGATGACTTGTCACCAGGATCTGGTGCTTTGAGCAAGGGTTTTGGTTTGTAGGAGGGATTTGTCAAATGCTTGGAGTGTTGGGCTGTTGTGTTTGTTCTAAAGGGATGCAGTAATTTGCTACAGAAGCTTGTGTTTGTTCTCAGAGTACTGTGCTATTTATTTGTGATGTTAGATAATGTTGAAAATCAGGGTATGTTTAAGTCAGTGTAGTAGAGCTTTTTTCCTTCTTATGTGTGAACAGCAGTGCAGTACAGTAAAGATACAGGGAAAATACTGAAGTTGGCTTTGTAAATTCAGGTACTTTCCAAAGTTTGTCCTTGTTGGATATTTTGCTCTTTCATTTGATGGTCTTCACTGTGTACATTAAGTGTAGTGCTGGACTGATGAGTAGCATACTCTTGTGAACCTTGAAACCAGGTGGATCTCAGAAGAATGGACACGTCCTTTATTCATGAGATGGACTTAAGGATCCTTCAAGGACTCAGTTGAGAGTTGTTCCCTCGATACACTGGCAGTCTGTTTCACTGCAACAGTTCAGTGTGGCACAACCAATGACCAAGTAATCTCATCGTATTTTCATCGTTTCCAGAAGTCAACTTAAATTTTGAATTTCTTTTGCTTCTGAAATGGAAACACAAAGATGCAGTGCATAGCATCTTGGATCGTGGAAGGAGTTCTTCACATGGGTTCATAACATGTTTGGCTTTAGTGTAGCCACTGCTATGGATGAGCTGCAGCAGTGTAGCGCAGTATGTAAAGCAAAGTACAGGTATCAGCCATTAATTATGTTTCATTTTCTTTCCACAGTTAAGTTGATTTTACAGAATTTATCAGGTCTCCAAAGCAGAAACAGGTAAGCTGCTAAAAGCTTAACACTTCTCAGTGAGTATTGTGACAAGATCATACACAGCCTTTTTTCCTCACGTACTTGTGGCTGGGAACTAGGATATGCTCTCCTGAGTGCTCGTGGCTGCTGCAGTTAATACTCTGACTACGTCAAAGAGACAACTTCTTTGAATGCTGAGAAAACATACATTACTGAACAGAACTGATCACTGGGTAGAGCAACTTGTCAAAGCAGTAAAGGCATCACTGTTTGTGAATTATGTCATTTTCAATGACATAGTTATTCTTTTTCCTTTCTCCTTTTATCAACTAGTGTCCTGTTCAAAAGGAAACAGGATTTTTTTGTTCCTTAGGACTGGGCAGAGATCTCTGGCATACAGTCACTATGCCATGAAAGACTTGATGTGTTCTTTAGGTATTGCGGATGGTGAGGAATGACTTAGGTGGATTTTGTTGCCCTTAGGATAGGGAATATCGATAGATTTGTGCACGTGTGCTGGTGGAGTAGCTGATTGTTCTGACTAATCAACATTCAGTGAACTTTATTTTAATCTTGTTCTTCTGAACTTGTGGGTGTTTTGATACCTTCTCTCTCGATTGAGACAAGGGCATTCATTAAAACGGCTCTAGCTTCTTAAATGATAAGATACTGTAATAGCTGAGTACTAAAGACGTGCTATCATGTGTACCTTTTTGTCTGCAGGTGATTTTTGCTGTGGGTTGAGCTCAGCATGGCTGTAGTCATCCGTTTACAGGGGCTTCCTGTTGTTGCGGGTCCTCCAGATATTCGTCGTTTCTTCTTGGGATTGAATATTCCTGATGGAGGTGTGCATATTATTGGAGGAGAGCTTGGGGAGGCTTTTATTATATTTGCAACAGATGAAGATGCACGGCGTGCCATGAGCTGTTCAGGAGGGTTTATCAAGGACTCACGCGTAGAGCTCTTTCTCAGCAGCAAGGCAGAAATGCAGAGTACCATAGAAATGAGCCGGAAACGATTTGACCGTGGGGGACGAGAAACTATGTCTAGCTCTAGAAGAGCAGGTACTAATGGTTCTGGTGCATCAAGTGTTGGAGACATGCCACATTTAGTCACAGCTTCTCCAAAAGGAATAAGAAAACCTAGTTACGGGCCACCAAATCGCCTAGAGGCTGGTTTCCATACCAACGGCACAAGACACGGTGATATGGGTATACCTAAGTCAAACTATCAGTTAAGAAAGGATTCTCACCCATTTAACCCAGATGACTGTTACTTATTTCTACGTGGTATACCTTACGCTGCAACAGAAGTGGAAGTACGTGCTTTCCTTTCTGGGATATGTGTGGATGGAGTGATTCTGATAAAGCACCGCAATGGTTTAAACAATGGTGATTGCTTGGTAAAATGTGCTACACCTGGTGATGCCTTGGAAGGACTTAAACGTCACAGACAGTACATGGGTCAGAGGTTTATAGAAATTAGTCCAACTACGGAGGAACGGTGGGTTGAATGTGGTGGGACGGTGGATGTGCCAGATGAAATGGATCACTTTTTCTGCGAAGACCTTTCTCCAAAAAGTTCAGGCTACATGCATTCAAGGAGGCGTTCTCGTTCAAGATCACCAAGGAGACAAAGAACGCGTTCTCGTTCATCTCCCAGCCAGGAATATTACATACACTTAAGAAATCTATCTTTTAATGTGGAGAAGAGAGATTTGAGAGATTTTTTCCCTGATCTGGATATATCCAGCAAACAGATCAAGATTCTAACAGATAAGCATCAGAAAAGGACTAGAGATGCCTTTGTGATGTTAAGGAGTGAGAGAGAATACCAGGCTGCTTTGGAATGTCATAGAAAGGTTCTTCTCAATCGTCCTGTTTACATTTTTCCAATTTCAAGAAAGTCAATGTTGAAAATAATCGATTCTTGTGAGAGAAAAAGATCACTAGACAGAGATCATCCTGGACAGGCTATATCAGAAAAAAGTTACCGGGAAGGTCATTCCAGCCCTAAGATATGTGTTTATGTCAGGAATTTTCCATTTGATGTGTCAAAAATTGAAGTGCAAAAGTTCTTTGCAAGATTTGATATTGATGAAGATGATATTTATTTACTCTATGATGAGAAAGGACTTGGACTGGGAGAAGCACTAGTGAAGTTTAAATCTGAAGAACAAGCCATGAAAGCAGAAAATTTAAATCGTCAAACATTTTTGGGAACAGAGGTATTAATAAGACTTATATCTGAAGAGCAGATGCAGAAGTTTGGTGTATCTGTACCATTATCTGCACCGAATCAAGTGCATGGTTATTCACATCCATATGACAGAGGTGAGCTTTCCCGTCCAGTCAGTTCACCATCTGGGCCACCACAAGGGCCACCCATGCATTCATTTGGTCCCCCCGGGAACTTTAGGCATCATTCTGAATTTAGACACCCCCCTGAGGACTTCATGGGCCCTCCTAAGGATTTTAGAGGTCCACCACCCCTCATGGATTTCAGTGGTGACAGTGAACCTTTTGGCAGAATGGAGTTTGGGAATAATAAAATGGGAAATTTTCCTGAAGGAAGATTTATGCCGGATCCGAATTTCAGTGGTGGTTCTGAACGTGTTGTTCCTATTCTGTTGAAAAATTTGCCTTTTAAAGCTACTCCTAATGAGATTCTGGATTTTTTCTATGGCTACAGAGTGATTCCGGAGTCAGTTTCTGTGCAGTACAATGAACAAGGATTACCTTCTGGTGATGCCATTGTTGCTATGACAAACTATGAGGAAGCTATGGCTGCTATTAATGAACTGAATGATAGGCCGATTGGTCCACGGAAAGTTAAGTTGAGCTTGCTGTAAAGGAGGAAAAGATGCTCTATAGTAAAACATTCTCGGTTTGACAGTATTGACAGTTATTTTAACTTTTTTTAATTCCTGGAACATCCAAAAGAAACAGTTTCCATCAACGGTTGTAAATAATACCCAGTTCAGTTGTTTAGCTCTTGGTTGAAATGTTTGTAGGACACTGGAAGTCACACATCGAGGTCTAAAGGGATGGAGTTGTAATGCTTTGGGTTTTTTTTTAGTTTAATTCCACGTCCTCTGTCTTTGCATCAAATAAAAATATAAATGCTGGTTGACTGACCACGCAAATGGTTCAAATAGAAGATTTTCAGTGCTACCTGCATTAGTAAATAACACTTCTTACTGAGGTTAGCTTAAAATTTAAAAGGTGAATGATTTTTATTTTTTGGGTTTTGTTTTTGTGTAAACTTCAGGTTTTATTCGGTTTCATGTGTTTGCAGGCGTTTCTGTTAAAAAAAGAAAAAAGAGCTTCCTGTTCACATTAGCTGGCTTTGCAATTTTTTTTTAATAAAAAGGAAATTGCCATTTAAATGTGTGTCTTCTATTTAAAACTTGGATAGTTAATGGTTTCAACTATTATGCTCAGCAGATGTGGGTCTTGGTGAGAATGATGCTGGCTACTTCCTCTGGGAAGAGTGAACTGTTACAGTTTGTCAACACAGTGAAGAAAAGGTAGTTAGTTTACAGAGATTTCAGTCTGTATTAATGAGTTGGGCAGGTTTTCCTCTCGCTCACTGTAGTACCTTGAGGCAGAAAATGAATCTTGAAATCAGATCAAGAATTCTGATTCAGTGGTCTTCATTTTATCTCCACATGCTGCATAATGTGAATACTAGTTTGCTGATGATGTTTGGATACACTCCAGGTCAATCTGATTAGTTTTAACTAACATCTGTCATGGTAACCAAGCTGACAACCAACTATGTTATTTTCTTTTGTAATAAAATAAATGCTTATGTCAGCATTTAGAATATGTTGGTTAGATTGGTTTGGTACCACCATATTTAAATTTTAGGAAGAAATAAAAGCTAGCCTGGAAAAGCTGCATGTTCAAAATTCAGGCTTAGTTGGAAACTTTGGTTGTGTGGGTAAGGACTTTTGTTCACATTGCAACTGTACAAGATAGTATTTGGAGTACTAAAGAATTTCATGAATTTTAGTCCCCTCAGACTAGGACAGCAAAGTTGCAACTTGGCAGTGAAAACTTTTAACCTTTGCTTGGGCAATACAAAAAATCATAAATTCATGGAGTAGGGAGGTCTCTAGTCCAACCCCTTCCTCAAAGTAGTGTCCGCTAGAACAGGTTACTCAAGGCCTTCAGTATTTAATAGCTCTAAGAACGGAACTCTCTGGGCAGCCTGTGGTTGATCCCCCTCCCTGGTGGATCAAATTTTAACTGCTTTATTTATGTAAAGTCATCATCGTAGTTGCTAAACTTGCAAATGAACTGTTAAATACAAGCAAACAAAATCAAGAGAATTTTTTGTTCTGTAATTTTTAAAAGGTTAGTGTAGCTTTATTTCCTCTGCATATTATTCTCTATTTTAAGTGCCCAGAAAAAAGCATTTTGAATGAAAATGCAAGGTCTGTGTATGTAGCAAAAAAAAAAAAAAATGTGGCTAAGTTTAAATTCTGAACACTTGATATTCAGTTTTTTGCTGTCTGGTAGGAATTAGCTTCAGAATCATATGGTTTTGAATCCTGTAAATTTAAAGGGCATTAAAATAAAACCCACAAGGTTGTGCTTTTATTTCATAGCTACTATGAAAGAGATCAAGGAGATCAAAGAGAAGACTTTGCAGGTAAAAGACATGAGAATCCTCAAAATGAACTTCCCTGACATTATCATTATGTTGAAAACTTCATTGTGATTATTTTTGTAAGCCAGTGTTTTTACTACTAAGGTGTGTTGTAAATATGAATGCAAGTAACTTCTCCAGTTAGTCAGCTTTAGATCATTTGCTGGTTTTAAAGTTCTTCCAGCTACTATACAACAGGATATTTCAAACTTGGAGGCTGGAAAGACAGGAGAGTTTAGTAGGTTTTTTTGCCAGTAAAGCATGAGAATGTCTTTTAGAAATAACACCTGTTCTCAAAGAATTTAAGAGTAATTACTGATAAAATACCATTAATTTTTGGGATGGTAAACTCCCCCCCCCCTTAGTAAACATATAAAAAAGAATCATAAAGCTTGTAATGGCAGAGGTCATAATTGAGGCATTTAAAAATGGTTTTCTGATTGCTCTATAGCTAATTTGTATTTAATTTAAAGCCAGATTAGAGTTTATGACTAGTTTATCTGAAATGTTTGATTGACAGGCCAAAGAAATAATTCTTTTTTCAAGGTCTATAAATACAAAAACTGTACTTCAAAGTATGTACAGATGAACTTGAAGCATAGGGAAATTGGGAAGGGATGCCAGTGTATCAGTGAAATAATAAGGTTACTAGGATAGTTGATTCTTAGTTTATAGGTGTTATCTGATTGGTGCTTTGGCTCTGTGTGTGTCTGTCCTTCTCTGTTCCCCTTCTCCACTGAGATGTGTATATACAGGCATTATATTCCGATTCTGCCTGAATAGTTGGTACAGGTGCATGGTGTGGTGGCAGTATTTCCTGATAATAGGGTTATATAACTTTAGATGTATAGTGGCTTGAAGGCACTGTACTTTTGGTACAATGGACAAATCAGAAACCATCTTATAATTACATGGCTTGAAATACTGTTCTTTCTTTTTAAGTACCATCCACACAGTAAAAGAATAAAAAATGAAATGCTGCAGTTTGTGACGTTGATAAAACACAGCAAGTTTCTTTAGTTATGCCACACAGCAAGTTTCTTTAGTTATGCCTTCTCTGAAGTTGCTTTTGCTACCATTGTCCAAAAATTCTGGTGTAAAGGAGAACAGACTCTATCGTCAAGAACTAGAAATAGTGATCGCCTACCAAAGCAGCTTGAGGTGTTCAGGGAAGCTGTAACAGCACAGTCTGGTTAGTACAAGAAGATAACCCTTAATCCCAAAAGGAATGTGCCAGCATTTTCAACAGAGTGGCAAAATATTCTTAGCAAGATTGATACAAGCCTGCATCATCTAGGTGTTAGTAGTCAAAAATACATTTGAATGAGAAATGTCAGTCTTGCAGCAAGCACTTATGCCACAAGAAAAATCTTTGCAGAAGTATCTTTTAATTCTGTAATTACATTCTAAATTATTCTTCTGGTTCTAAAGTATTTTAATCAGGGACTTTTCATCTGTAGTTTCAAGGTCACACAAGTACTGTGCAATGGGCAAACCTAAGACATCATACATGCAGGACAAAGTTGCCCAACACTCTATTTCTCCTGGAAGTTTTCCTGTAATTCCTGAAGTTGACTTTTTTGTGAGGTAGTGAGAAGGAATTTGAAGCTGCTCAGGAAAACAAACCCCTCATTCTTACCCTAGCTACTAATGTTTTAGGGGGGAATTAATTAAACATGGCTGCCTTTTTTCAGCATTCCTTTCTCAAGGCATAGTACACGATCACTGTTTGCATGTATGTATATGATATGAAAGCCTAGTATTGTTATGAAGTTGGCCATCTGTTTTGGAGATGGACTACTTCATTGAGTATGGAATGGTAAAGTGGTGACCACCATAATTCTGATGTTGTGATACAAATATTTAGAAGTGCCTTAGTTGCTGAAATAGATGGGAATTGGTTACCTAGATAGTTTTAAAGTTGTTCTCATTTGTATTTACTCTTTGTCAACAGTTGTATAATGTCAATAGTATGTAATTCTGGTGTAAAATTATTTTCTGGGTTTAAAACAGAACCCTTCATTGTGACATTTTCACTTATATTTCCATCACATTAATTTTGGCAAAAGTTGTTTTTTCACATCAGAATAGGTATGCATCAATACTATAAATGCACTTTTTGGTTTATTCCATAACTTGAAATTTTTTTCCTAGTGACAAGTTTAAATTCTATATTTATGCATGCGTTCGCTCTTTAACTAAAGCTGGAGATGAACAGTGTGGTAGTGGCTTTCTGGCAAACAACTGTACACTGTTAAAAAATGAACATGTGTATCACTATCTCCAAACAGAATAAGAAATTACACTCAAAATGTGTAATTTCTTGTATGTTTGATGGAATCAGTAACTGAATCATGTAGTTAAGCACGTGAAATTTGAACTCTCTAGCATATCAACTAATATAATAAACATCAACTACATAAAATATCCACTAGTTTTATCATGAAGGCACTTTTATTTAAAAGCAAAGCAGCAATAAACGTAGATACTGGGCTCGGTCCTTATTTATGAGCATTGATTCTCTATGTGTAAAGGAATCAAGTCATCTTAGCCTGAGGAAAGCCTGAGGAAAATGAAAACAAGAAAACAATACACCTCACCCTGCCTTCTGCCATGCAAGGTGCGTAACAAAGTGAAATCTTAAAATGTTGTTGCTGCAAACAGTTTCTTGATTACTGCAGTTCATTTAGGATATTAAACCCAGTCATGACAGGTACAGCTAGAGGACTTACTAAATGGAAGAGGTGTTTAGCTAGAGAATAAGGTAATATATTGGCAAAGTTACAAGCAAACCCTTATGTTCATAACTGCTTGTCAGCTTAGTGCAGTTTTTGGACACTGTTCATGTAAGTTTAAGCAAATATGACTGCAATACAATATTTATGCAAATATAATACAGGATTCTATTTAAATATTTCATTTTCTAGCTACTGAAATTGTCCATTTTCAGCAGATTTTGTTCCATTCTTTGAAACTGGTCATTTGTTGTCCAGCACTCTAGAATTAGTGCTTGTTCCTGTTAGAATTTTAAATATACAGCCTCAGTGAAATTTTTCATCAACACACAAAAGCCTTTAGGTAAAGGGATTTTTTTCCCCCTTAATAAAAACCCTCTCTTAGAATAGCTTTGTTATCTCACTTCCTTAGTAGCATCAAATTCTTCCTCCTCATCCTCCTCTTCCTCATCCTCATCTTCCTCCTCTTCTTCTTCATCTCTTCTTAGCATACAGCGGGAAATCTGCCAAAACAAAAACCCAGCAGAAGTAAATCAAGTGTTTTTTCTCCTCAAAGAAAAACAATTATCTGTTGGCATTTCCAGTCTAAATATTTATAGTTTTTTGTTTGGGGGAGTGCATAAGTTGTTTGTCCCTTAACCCTTCATAACGTGCAAGCCAGTGAAAAGATACATGACACAGAATAAAAATGCTGTAATGATTTTTAAAAGCTAAAAAAATCCCCATAGTCATGACAACTATTATAGGATTGGGAAAACTATACTTTGATCCAATTAATGCTAAAATCAACAAGATGTTTGTTCCTGGGTTGGCTGTTGAGACAGCAGGCTGAAGATGAGTATTAGGGCCTAATCTTGAAGACATCAGACCTCCAGTTAGAAGTTCAAAACTATGCTGCTCTAGGGGGTTTTTTTTGAGAATGAATTAGACAAACTATTAAAAGTCTTCATTCACAGATGAACAACTTTCCCTGCCCATCAGTGCTTGCCCTTCA